TCTACCCTGCCCTAGAGGGTCGCTGTGCATTGGAATTGACTTGATGGCAGTGAGTACCCGGAAGCATTTTATCATTTAAATCCTATGTGTAACTGTGAGGGACTATCTGTAGTATTTTGTCAATTTATTGGGATTGGGGTGAGCGTTCTCAAAACATGGGTTTCCCAGCCAAGACTCCGTACACATTTTGTCTGTAACACTGCATGGGGTCCCCTCAGTGGGGTGACAGCACCCCTCACTTCCTCCCAGCCATCCATCTGTCCATCCTAACCTCTCCTGCCTCCAGAGCCTTCTTGCGAGGTTTGGCTGAAAGTGGGGTCCGGGTGTGTATATCAAAGGGTGACACAGGAGCCCTGGTGGCATAGGGGTTATATATTGGGCTGCCACCTGCAAGGTCAGCAGTTCGAAACCACTAGCCACTCCTCAGGGGAAAGATGAGGCTTTCTATTCCCGTAGAGAGTGACATCTCAGAAACCCACAGGAGCAGTTCTACCCTGTCCTAGAGGGTGGCTATGAGATAGTAGGGAGTGAGTGTGTTTGTTTTGGAAGCGGGCTGCCTTACCATTTTCTAAAGTCTTATTTTGTCCTCTGATGTCCCCCCCGGGTGGGTGGTCCACAGTCACCAGTGAGATTTATGTGGTGAGGGCGAGTGCCCTGTGGTAAAGCCTGATTCTGCGGTTAGCCTCCAGGGGGCAGAGCGTGACCAGGAATTGCCTGGGACTTAAGGCAGCAGGGGCTGAAAGCAAAGGGTGAAAGGTCAGATCCCCTCGGCAGTTGGCTTTGATGTGATTCAGTTCATGCACGTGTGTGAGTGTGCGTGTGCATGTGCTTCTGCCCGGGATCTACCAGTATTCTGGGCTAAGCGTCCCCAGCATCTGAGGGTCTAGCCCTGGCAGGGCTTTGCCATGTGTGATGTGGGGCCTGCCTGCTGGCTGACTGGTCACTTAGCCCCTACTGGCGTCTCTGGTTCGCAGAGGACAGCGGCAGGCTGTGTGGAAAGGCACACAGTGTAGAGTCAGATCATCCTGGCTGTGAGCCAGTACTCCTACCCCTGGCTTGCAGCCTCCTGCTGCGGGGTGCCGTGTTGTCTGAAAAGTCCATCACTGTTGTCTCCTGCTCTGGCTCCTGGTTCTGATGCTCTCCTTCTCAGCACACAGCTGTCGTCTGGGTCCAGGGTCCCAAGGACGTGCTCCACTACTGGCTCTTGCTGGTCATGAGATCCCTCCTCCTCCTCCTTCTCAGAGGGCTCCTCTTAGACCCAGCAGGATGCCACTCCAGGGAATTCGGTTCCTATCAGTCTCTACACACACACACACACCCCACACCCCTTTTCTTACCCAACACATGCAGGGAAAGGTCACTTGGTGGGAGTAAGAGACTTTGACTAGAAGAGCCACATTAAATAATTCCCTGTCCCCTTTTGAGTTGCTGTTGTCAATTTGATCCCATAAAATGAGCAGGGCCCAGGCTGGGCCAGGCACCAGTGAGGTCTGTGCTGGGCCCTTAGTGGGCAGCAGTGAAGGGGACACCAGCTCCCTGATGGCCTAGCAGAGCTTCGGAGGGGTGGGAGGGGCCGGGGAGTTCCACACCAGTTCTGGGGAGTCAGGGAGGCTTTGTGGAGGGTGGGGTGCTGATGCTGCTGATGAGGGTGGATCCTGCAGAGGACCAGCATATGCCAAGGCCCTGGGGTAGGTGCAGGACGGGGCACTGTATCTAACTGCACATGGGGTGACTGTGAGCCCCACTGACCCCACACATGCTGACAAGGAGCCCTGGGGGCTGTCATTGGAGGGAGGGAGGCATGTTCAGGTAGGCACGAAGGGCTCTGCAGGTGGAATGAGAGAACGGGGCACCGGGTGAGGAATCAGGGGGGCACGGTGGGAGGCAGATGCTGCCATCAGGACTCCCACCTGACAGCAGCCAGGAACCCCACTCAGGGCCTCTCCGCAGCCCCCCACCACGCCCCAGCCACCTGCCCCACCCCATGGCCTGTGTTCCCTACATTTGGAGCGCCCATCATGAGACAGGGGCACCGGTTGTCATGACGCTCTTTCTTGAAAGCGGCTGGTGTCTTATTTGGGCTGGGTCATTCCACCCTGTGTGTCGTAGGGCGCGCGCCCCTGCCCACCAGATGCGAGTAGCACCCTCCACTCCCGTGTGACATCCAGAATGCCTCTAGAAGGGGTCGTCGGGACTCCCGTGGTCAGAGGGGAAGTGGTGGGAGGGCTGACGTTTCCCACGCGGACTAACCGGGTCTCTCCCAGGAGGATGGCCGGAAAGGTGAAATGGGTCACTGATATCGAGAAGTCGGTGCTGATCAATAACTTCGAGAAGAGAGGATGGATCCAAGTGACGGAGAACGAGGACTGGAATTTCTACTGGTGGGTGAGGCTGAACTGGGACCCACTGCCCCCCACCCCCAGGCCTAGCATCAGGATCGTTAGTCCCAGCATCCGGGCCACAGTCTGCAGCTTGGGAGGGACTCTGCCTGCAGCAGTGGGGTCTTCGAGCCCAGAACACTCTATCCTGAGGGCATTTACCCACGTGGGCAGTTGAGTCGGAGGAGAAAAGGCCACGTGGGAGCATGCGTGGCGGAGTCTTCTGCACTCTGGCTAGCGGCCTAGGGTGTGAACTGAGCATGCGCAGTGAAGGCCTCCCCCCCCCACCCCATGCACGTGGCCATAGGGTGTGGTATTCGAGGGCGGTTTGGCTTTAGGTGTGGCTTCCTCCTGCGTGGCATCAGTGAGAAGCCCCAGCCTCATGTCCCCCTTCCAGTGAGGTTCTGTCGATTGGGGATGTATTAGGAGTGGGGGCTGTGGTTGGGTTCGGGCTTTGAGTGACGGTAGATAAAGAACGGGGGTTACAGATGGGCAAGGGGGTATGAATTGTTCTAGTTATTCCAGCTCATGGTGACCGTGTGTGCACCAAAACGAAACGCCACCTGGCCCTGCACTGCCCCCTGCAATGTTGGAGGTCGACCAGCTCCTGTGGGACAGCGTGGCTTCCTGCATCGTTCAGTACTTTTCCCCATAGCATCTTTCTCTATTGTAACTCAAGGCTGGAATTTTTCCTTAAACTCTTTCAATTAAAGATATGCTGAGGGTGGTCTTCCTTTGGGGTGTTCTAACTCGTAAGTCCATGCACGTTTATTATAACGTTTCACTTTGTCTTCTCGAGCCGCCCTTTGCAAATGTCTGTTCAGCCCGTATAGCTCATCATTTCATTGCCTTAGCTACTCCGATCAAGAACAAGCTTCAGGGTCTCGTCTGACATCACTTTGATCTTCTTCTTCTCTCCTGTCTTTTTAATGACCTTTTGCTTTCTTCATGTCTGATGCCCCCAGTGTCCTTCCACAGCTCACCTGGTCCTGTCATTAGTGTTCAGTGCATCAGATCTGTTCTTGAAATGCTCTTGAAATTCAGGTGGGATATACTCAGGGTTGTATTTTGGCTCTTGGGGACTTGTTAACCTTTTCTTCACCTTCAACCTGAACTTACATATGAGCAATTGACGGTCTGCTCCACAGTCAGCCCCTGGCCCAGCTTTAGCTGCTGCTATTGAGCTTCTCCGTGTGTCTTTCCACAGAGGTCATCGATGTGATTTCTGTGTATTCCACCTGGAGAAGTCCTGTGTTGTGGAAAAAAAGTGTTTGCTAGGAAGAAATCATTGGTCTTACAGAATTCTGTCATTTGACCTGCAGCTTTGTGTCTATCACCAAAATCACATTTTCCAGCTATTATTCCTTCGTTTGTGTTTCCAACTTTTGCATTCCCATCACCAATAATTATCAATACATCGTGATTGCATATTTGATCAATTTTATACCGAAGATGCTTGTGGTTCTTCAATTACTTCATCACTAGCTTTCATGGTTGGTGCATAAATGTGAATAATAGTAGTATTGACTGATTTCCTAGTATGCAGATAGGTATAATCCTGTCTTCAAGATAGATCTTGAAAGTGTTCGTTTTGTTTCTTATGTTGAATGCAATGCCTTTTCTTGATCGCGTTATTCCCAGCATAGTAAACCATATGATTTTCTGATTCAAAATGCCCAATACCAGCCCATTTCAGCTCACCAGTCCCCAGGATAACCATCTCTATGTGTTCCATTTCACTTTTGACAACCTCCAATTTTCCTAGACGCATACATTGAACGCCTCAAGTTCAGTTACTAACTGACGTTTGCAGCTGTTTCTTCTCATTTTGAGTCGTGCCGCTTTAGCAGACGAAGTTCCTGGAGGCTTTACCCTTTTAGCGTTAGGGTGAGGAATAGAGTTAACACTGGCGGCAGGGATGGAGTTCAGGTTAGGCTTAGAGATAGAATTCACGTTAGGGGGAAGAATAAGTTAGTGTTAGATTAGTGTCAGGAATGCAGCTGTGGAGGAATCAGGGGAGCTGGTGCCCCTGGAAGGAGAGGAGGATTGTGGGATGCAGGCCTGGGGCTTCTTTTTATCTGAGGGTGTGAGTTGTACCGATCGAAATAAGTGAAACAAAACAATGTCCAAGCAACCAGCGTGGGCTAGACTCAG